GGCAAAGAGCACACAGAGTCTGCCCAATGGATAAATGGATAAATGGAAGCCTTGGTAAGGAGGCTGGCAGACAGGGCACCAAAGGGAATTCATTTATGTCCTAGCCTGTCATATCTCAGGACTCTGCCAGATTGTGTCCAGTCCTTTGCAGCGGGAGAGAGGAAGGAGGGTCAGGACTCCCCACTGGGGGTGGGATCTGGCAGGCGTTCCTAGCAATGCCACTGAACATTCCGTGGGCCGGTCCCATGCTGGCCGAGCACCCTTTTGGTTAGGGTCTGGCTTCCCCTGTAGGTTGACTACAAGAATAGAAGTCCTGCTGGTGCTGACTGAGTCAGTGGGAAGCTGTCTCTGTGCCCAGATGGTCCTGCAAAGGGAAAGGGAGTCTCTGGGCCCTCAAAGAAGGACGGGCCCTCAAAGAAGGACAGACCCAGCAGGACTACTACTTGATGACACCACTACCACAGCCAACTTCTCTCTCACTGATGATGGTTTCTATGGGCTATAGACAGGAAAGCAGAACATGGGGCCAGGGAGACTTCGCAAGTACAGGGTGGGTTTTGGGAGCCCAATGATGGGACCCTAGAATGTAAATAGGAAAGAAGCAAATAAATAAAACTGGCAAGGGCGAGGCAGGACCAAGCTTTCAAAGGAGATTTAGATGTCAGCTCTGCCTTGTAAGGTGGGAATCAGACAGGCAGCAGGAGTAACAGCCAGGACATTGTGCCACTCAAAACAGCTGAGTAAGCTCCTTAATGCATCTGTCAGTGCTAGAATCATCAGGGCTGCTTTAAAAAATACTGACGGGGAAGAGGTAGACTTAGAGACATTAATTTCACTGCTTTGGAGTGGACCTGGACATTGGTGTCTTTTAAATTAAAATCCCCCAAATAGATTTAACGTAATTTGTTGCCAAGGGTTGAAAACCACTGGCCTAGACAGTGATTATTAATATATTTTTGGAGGAGCAGGAAGCAGAAAAGGCATCTAGGAAGCTTTTATTCCATTGATCATGCCTGCCTCCATCATCTTAGTGAAGGGGCTGTGCCTACAGTTTAAAAAGCCTGATTCTGATATTCCCACCTGGTCAGGCAGAACCACTGGTGGGGTAGAGCTCAGAGCCTGCATTAACATTCTTTATTATGTAATATTAGACATACACAAAAGAATAAATGTAACTTATAATTAAGTCAAGTAGAATAATAATAAAAAACCTCACGACCCAACTGAAATTCTAGACCTTTACTAACCTAGTTGGTGTTACTGGTTCTCCCTCCTCCCCTCATCCCCCTTCCTCCCCATAGGACATAACCTCCTTCTTCAGTGGGCTCTGCATTATTAACAAGCAGGTGGTCCTGGCACCTCTGGAAACCCAGGTTTTGGGCCTCTGGGAGGGCGGGGTCTGAAGGTTGGGAGGGTGTGGTGTTTGGGGATAAGGATCAAGTGACCAGCTGTGAGCATGAGATGCAGAGCGAGGGGAGCCAGGCAGAGCCTGCCACAGCCTCTGATAGAGGCAAAGGCAGGCAAAGCGTTTGTTAAAGAAGTACTAGAAAAATCCCTTTAGACTCAGTACAATGGAGACCCAGATGCTCTCGAAAAAGCCAGGCTCTCAATGGTTTTGTTTTCCCAGACCTGGCTGTTGCTGCCAAATCAACAAGCTCGCAACAGCTTAGAGGATGCAGAGAGTTCAAGGCCCTGGGGATCTGCCAGACAAGAACAAAAAGATGCAACTTGATCTCTCTTTCACCCTAGGGTAATCACTCAGGTGAGCTTTTCCTTGGGATTATTAATCCATTATAAAACCAGATGCTTAAAGTGAATCAACTGCTATCTTTCTTAGAAGGTACAAAGTAGGTCAGCGGTGATCTGCCAGGGTGCACAGCCTCTGCGCAAGAGCCAGTGAATAATTAAAACCACATGTCGTCTCTGGGAGCAGCACTGCAACAGGAGAGCGTTTTCTCTCCCCAGGAGATTGTTGGGAACCAGAGAAAAGAGGAAGCCAATAGATCCAGTGGCAGAAGCACCAATGTGGAGGGGAAATCCAGGAAGGAAGGGAGCGGGTACTGGGGTAGGAAGCCAGTTCTTGGGAGGCCGGGAGGCCTGAGGGGTCCAGGGAGGACTGGGTCATGGCAGTGTTACAAAATAGAGCTCAATACGAGTCGGGGCACAAGGACAAGGTGTGATCTTGCTTAGTTAGGGTTAGGATATAAGCAAAGGGTCTGTTTAGGTGACACCAGCAGCCAGGGTGGCTTGGGGTCTGTGGGCCCTTAAATTCCCCACAATTAGGGCCTGACATGGATAGAGGGTGCCTGAGGTATCCTAAACCTGTAGGCACCTTTGATCACACAGGGGCTTTTACGTGTTTTCCAGAGGCAGCTGCTCCCATGGATTAGAGGCCTGGGAAAGATCGAGAGTCACCCTCCACCTTGCACAGAGATATATGTGCAAAGGTCTTCATCGGCTATAAAGAGCTAAAGGCTCTCAAAGGAAAAGCTGTCACTCCTGGCTAATGAGGTCCTGGCAGATGACAGAGTGGAAAATAAGACAAAGAAGGCCAGCCTGCCCTCCAAGAGGCTGGTAAACAGAGTAGTGACAGTGTGGCATCCGGCCATGGGCTAAAGGTCTCCCAAGTGGGGACTGCAACCAGACAGTTATAATTTTTTGGTGCAAGTCCTGAGCGTACTACAGAATGGACCCCGCATGGACTGGGTGGTTATCAGTGATGTTGATGATAAATACTGTGGCTTCTCCTCTGTGACTGCTGGGAGTATACACGATTACAACCAATTTTGAAAAACGATTTGGCAGTATCTCCTACAGCTGAACATATGTTACCCTATGACCTAGCAATGCCACTCCTACGGAAATGCCCAACAGAAATGTGTGCATATAGGTTTGCCAAAAGACGTGTACGAGAGCTCTCATAGTGTCTGTAATAGCCCCAAACTAGCAACCACCCGAATGCCCACTGGTAGCAAAATGGGTAAGTACCATGAGGTGCATCACACATGGAATACTATAAAGCGATAGAAGTGAATGACGACACAACATAGATGAATGTCACAAAAATAATGCGGAGCAAAGGAAGCCAACATGAGGGTACAGACTGCCTGATTTCATTTCTATCAACAGTCAAAACCAATCTATGGTGAAGGTACTAACAAACCATTGATTTCTGCACTTCAAATAGAAGAACTGTACGGTGTGTGAATTATATCTCAGTTCGACTATTATTTATTTATTTTTAAATGATGGTATTAGAAGTCAGGAATAGTGGTAATCCTTGGTGAGGAGCAGTGACTGGGAAGGGGCACAGGAGGGGCTTCTGGTATTGGTAATGTTTGGTTTCTTGATTTGGGTGCTGGTGACAAGGGTGGCTCAGATGTGACAATTCTTTATCTGGACCAATGGGGTCCAGAAAAATTGTGAGTAGAAGGTAGGGAGGGTCCACCCACCGCCTCTCCTCCCTGGGTGTGGCTAGCGTGAGCAGGTGTGGCCCCAGATGCCAGAGAACTAGGCCTGGAAGCATCTTTGCCTCAGCATAGCCATCCAGGGGTCAGGTCTGCTGCTCTTGAATTGGGAAGAAGGCATATCCTCAGGGAGACCGTAAGGGCTATCTGCCTGAGGTAGGCCAGCCCATAGAGCTGTGATCCCAAGGCCAGGCCCTGTCTGTCCCGGCAGCCTCAGCCAGGCTCTTCAGGGGTGGGTTTAGGGGAGCCTTGTCAGTGGCTGCCTAGCAGCAGAAGCACTTGAGTCCCCAGGAAGATGGATCCCAGTGGGAGAACCTGGGGCATGGGAGAGGGGCTCCCTGAGAACTCCAGGCAGAACAGAGGTGGGATTTTAGGATACAGGGCCAAAATAGGACGCAGGATGACAGCCATGGGGCCAGGAGCTGAGGGATCCTTTTTACCCAGGAAGCATTAAAGGCTAAGTCCTTTGTAAATCAGACAGGACAAGAGGCTGCTGTCAGGGCCAGGGGCTTGTGGCCCTTGAGATTCAGATTCAATTCTGCATTTTAAAAAATCTTCATAGGTGATTCTGATGTATAGCTTGGTGTAGAGACCCATGTGGGTAAGCATCATTCATTCATTCATTTAACAAACACTTACTGGGTAGCTACTCCAGTTCCAGGTCAGTGCCAGGCTTTAGGAAACCAGAAGAATATTGTCAGGTCTTGCCCTTAAGGAGCCCACAGTCTGGTATCCAGGGATAGGCTGGCATGTGACAGATAATTACAATGCAGAGAGGTGACAGCAATGACAGAGCTTCTGGAGCACAGGAGAAGCGTAAAAAAATCCACTTGTGGCTCCTTCTGCAAAATGTAATTTCCTCCTAACTCATTTGTTTCACAGGTCTGAATTTTTGTATTCTGCATTCAAGAACCTATAGTAGCTGAGGCTCAGCTCAGTAACTATTAAATATTATCCATGATAACGCCTTCTGAAAGAGGAGGCACTACCGGTAATTTTCAAGCTGTTTTTAAAAATAATGAACAAGCTCGGAGAGCTAACAGAAGATAGCTAGCTATGTCAGTTTCATAATTTCTGCCATAAAAATCATCCTGAAGAAGCTTACCCATTTTTCACAGTCTTTGGGAGAATTAATTTAGCTTTTCATAAAGGAGTCCATCAGATCAACCCCCACCCCCCACCCTCCACCATATACATGCATAATAACAAACACCCCTAATTCTCTTCTTCTTCTAGGTCTGTATTACATGACATAAAAATGTAAAAATAAAGTCAGTCACATAGGTAAGTGATGTGATCAGTAAAATAGGCCTACATATACCCTTTTCTATAATCGTGGAAATCTATGATATCCAGCCTGGAGTTTCCAATTTTAGTCGGCGCAGTGGCCCCCTTGAGAGCACCCTTCTCCTTTAAGCAGTATAGTAGAGGCACCCTGTTCACATGAGCACCCTGTTGTTCAATATAGCCAGGAGCAGCCCCAGAAACAGAAGCAGGCAAAGCAGAGGCGCCTTCGGCATACAGGAACGTTACCTTGGTCCCGTGGTAGAAGTCGTCCACGCATGTGGCGTTCATGAAGGTCTGGTGGAAGTGAGTGCTGGTGTCGATACCCCCAGGGATCACCAGTTTCCCAGTGGCGTCGATCACCTTGGCCCCTCCAGGGATCATGAGCTCACGGCCCACCTGTTGAATGATGCCATTCTCAATGTAGACATCGGCCTCGTGGGTGCAGTCATCATTCACCACTTTGCCTCCCTTGATGAGGATCCGTACGCTGGCTGAATTGGCAAGCATGTTCCTAGGGAAGGTGAGAAGGGGGGTGGCACAGGTCAAGGTTAAAATCCCTTTTCACTGTCACCATGGTCCCACCCCTTCCCATCAGAGTCCAAACTCTATGGGCAGAGTTAAGTGTGCGGGGATGAGGAGGAAGTTTCTCCACGGCCTGAGGATGTTGATCTTACAGCCAGCTGGGGTCACTGACCTCACAGCGGGACTTATTGGGGATCATGACACAGTGGTGAAGCTGCGGCCCAAAGAAACATCAGTGATTACCTTCTTGAAATGCTGTGTGGGTTCTAAAGCCTTTTGATATCTACTGTCTCATTTTATTCCAGAAACAACCTGAGGACTGGCATTTTACAGATGACAAGCTGAAACTGCTCAGTAAGAGATTTATGGCTACTAAGAAGCTAAGCCAAACCCAGATGTCTTGTATGACCAATATCTCTACTACAACTCACGGTCCTGAAGACAGCAGAAGCTCCTGCAGCGTGTCTCAGAGAGCCAAATTCTCCAAGCCTCACGCTGTTTAATTTATGTCATTCTTCACATGGATTCTGCTTCAGTTCACCCTCCAGTATTTGCCTCAAAAAGTCCACAACCTCAGCTGGTTGTACATTAATAAGCTCATCTGAGGAGCTTTTTAAAAGCACCTACGCTCAAGCCCCACATCCAGAAATTCAGATTTATGTGGTCCATATTGGGTCTTCAGAATCTTTATTTTTAAAAGCTAGAGAAGTTCTTCAAAGTCACACAACCGGTTTGCAATAGAGTAGGGATTGAAAGCCAGTCACCTTCAGAGCTCTTATGGACTGAAAGTTTGTGTCCTCCCAAAATTCGTGTGCTGAAGCCCCATCTTCCGGTGTGGCTGTATTTGGAGATGGGGCCGCTAAGGAAGTTTTTAAGGTTAAGTGAGGTCATAAGGGTGGGGCCCTGATCAGATAGGATTCGTGTCCTCATAGGAAGAGACACCAGAGAGCTCTCTCCCCTGCCCCCCTTCCCCGCCCGTGCACCATGTGCACACACAGAAGAAAGGCCACGTGAGGACACAGAGAGAAGACGGCCATCTACCAGCCAGGAAAAGAGTCCTCACCAGAAACAGACCATACTGACACCATGATTCAGACTTCCAGCCTTCAGAACTGTGGAAAAACACATTTCTGTTGTTAAGCCACCCAGTCTGTAATATTTCATTATGGCTGCCTAAGCAGATTAATACAAGAGCCTACACTCTTAGCTATGAGCCATCCTGCCAATATGTAAGGACAGTGACCCAATACTGGATTTTAAGCTGCCTGATGGAGCCACTTCAACGTAAATAATGGCCCAGCTGGTAGACCTGATTTGGCACAATGCCGTCATTTCCTCCCAACCCTCGCAGACTTCCAGCTTCAGACCGGGGCTGCTGTTGTCAGACCTGCCTGCAGGCCTTCAGCCTTTTGGTGTTACCAAGGGCTTGGGACACTCAAGGCCAGGACCGGTGTTTGGATAATAGAGCACGGTTGCTGAACACACTCCCGGCCCATGGTGCTTCCCGAGAATATCTTTTTAAAATGAACACTTGTGTGCACTAAAATATTCTGTAACTTCACCCTTTTCCAGTATCAAGCACTTCAGACAACTCTGAAGAAGGCACAGGCCTTACTCTCAGGAAATTCAGTTTACTGGGTGAGAGAGACACAAATAATTGCATTACCAAGTGACTAAAGCATAAAGGGGACACTTATTGCCTAAAGACCTTAAAACTAACTTGCATGTATCGGTTTAAACTGGGTGTCTCTCACTATGAACCAGACTCAGAGCTATGAATGAGCAAGACTAGCTGTTTGGTGACGGTCTTGTTACCCCAATGACCTTTCTACATTTCTAAATTGTCTGTATGGACAAAATGCTTAATCCCTCCTGGTCCCGCCCCCTCCATGTGGAGGGTTGACATTTATTATGCTTCTCACCTCCCCCAGTAACCTCATTAGCACCTTACTCCTACAGCTTCCCCTGCTAGTCTTTGCTAAACTAAACAAAGGAAAGATGTTACTGGCATCTATTTCCACGGCGTGCCTACTGTCTGTGTGTGTCCCAATGTGCGAACATAACAGAGTGAGGTGGGTGGATGAGTGTGGAGACATCTTGGATCTCTCAGAAGAGTCCCCCCAAAGGGAAAAGATTTGGGCACAACTTTTGAAATACACGCTCTCGAGCACAGCACGTGCCTCCGGCTTTGACTGTCCCTCGGCAGCATAGTGGGAGAACACGCTAGTCAGTGGTCGTGGTGTACAGAGGGTCAGTGTCAGTTTTACTAATTTATGATGCTTCGAGTCACTCATTTTATTCCAAAAATATCATAACTGTCTAACAGAGCCAATATCTGGACCACTGGGTAACTTCATGCAACAGACTGAATGTTTATGTCCCCTTCAAATTTACATGTTCAAGGCTTCATCCCAATGTGATGGTATTTGGAGAGGGGATCTCAAGGAGGTATTTAGGGCTTGAGGGTGGAGCCCTCATAAGTGGGATTAGTACCCTTATAAGAAGAGACAGGAGATCATAAGTGGGATTAGTACCCTTATAAGAAGAGACATGAGATCTCTCTCTCTCTCTCTACCATATGAGGACACAGAGAGTAGATGGCTTTATCTCTCTCTCTCTCTCTCTGCCATATGAGGACACAGGAGTAGATGGCTTCGGCAAGCAAGCAAAAAAGTTCTCACCAGGAACCAAACTGGCCCATACTTTGATCTTGGACTTTCCAGGCATCAGAACTGTGAGGAATGAGTTTCTGTTGTTTAATCCACCCAGTCTATGGTATTATCATAGCAGCTCAAGCTGACTAAGATACCACATTAGACAAGAATGAACATTACAATACAATCATCATTAAGTAACACTGGGTCCTAAAATAAATGTCACCTCCTTTAAAGGCTTTAACTATATCACACATTCCCATTTGTTTAACCAAAAACTTTGATCATCTAGCTATTTTGTCTATGCAAATGAAAGATTTCAAACCACATGTCTGTCCTCCCAGGCAGAAATGGAAAATACACCAGAGAGTTAAATGGTATTACAAAAAATAAATCAGAGGCATGGAATTCTAGAGACGCATAAATTCACTAAGTCTACGCTGACTTTGCCTCCAGACTCTGGACTTCACCAACAGTGACCTTGAATCGAAAGGAACCGATACAGGACTAACAGGGTGGTGTTATGCTGCAAATATAGGGATCTCAACAATTTTACAATTTATTCAGAGAAGTAATGATGCCTTCCACAGCAAGAGGGTTACACTCAGCAAGCCGAGTCACAGCTTGGATCCCCCAAGTTCCTGACTCTGTTGCTTGGGTTCCTTATGTTCCTGAACCACTGATAGGTTAGAGCTAAGGTGACATGCAAGCTGGGGAAATGGGGACTTCTGGTGGGGTGGAGGGGATAACACTATAATCTGGGAGTACAGTCTTTCATGAGAAAGCCTCCTTGTGTTTAAAATAGTAACAGTTATTGCTATCCGCTATCCAATAACTGTCTTGCTGCATAACAGGAAATTTCCCACACCACCCGCCCCCCTGCCTCTTTTATTCCTGTTGAGCGATTCCCAAAGCAGAATGGCACAGGGGGCATCTTGCTGAGTGGTGAGTCAAGGTTATGGCAGCTGCTGCTTCTCGTTCATGATGTGCACACACCCCACACTCCTAGAAGGTGCATGATGTTAGTCCTGCCAAGGAAATGACAACCCGACACTATGTTTTGGAATTGCCTGTTTCTGTCATCACCTTCCACAGTTCCCGTGTGCCTGCAGGGAGGTGCGAGACAAGGAGAGCCTGCTCAGTCTGTCCTGCACAGCTGTCTCCTGCCTATGGCTCAGCTGGAAGACACCAGGAGACTTTGGGGTTCAGCGCAGACACAGGGGGCCAGAACAGTGCAATGGGGTCACTTCTTGCATAAAGGCTTTAAAACTAACCTGAGGCGTATTGGTTTAAGACATAGGTTTCTTCTTTTTAACAGGCATTGGTTTAAGACTCACATGTCCTCTTTGGGTAGAATCCACAGAAAAATGTGTGATTTTACAGACGATTGGTCGCTGTGATATTAAGAAACATACAGAATGAGAGCTACACAACTGCCCTGTGACATAAAGGCACTGTGGCATTAAGCCAACACTAACGGCAGCCAGGGGTAGTAACTGGAGGGGTGGCTGAAGCCAGCTCAGGTCACTGGAAATGCACTGGATGGCATGGCTTTTCCCTTGCCCCAAGTATATAACATATGGCAGTGGTTTGGGAGAAGAAAATGAAAACATGCAGCTATTTTTCTTCGGATCAGTTCATAGGAAAGAGAAAGAAACAGTGGGAGAGCCGTCCCAGAAAGGTGGGTGCGTGTACTTGCAGCGCCCTGGGGCGACTCTGGAAAGGGAGTCTCTTTGAGTTGAAACATGAGAACATATTAAAGGTTCAACAGTACACAAAAGCCAAAAAGAGAACTTTGAGATGAGTAGGAAATAGCTAAGTGTTTGAGTTAAAAATTTAATTTTTAACAAAGTTAATCTGCTTTCTTAATAGCAAAGCTCAGACAATTTTAACTAATATTAAGGCACAATATAACTTCATAATTAATTCTTAAGGGGCTTTATTAACTCGAGTAGATTTAATGATGTTTACAACATACACGTAAGGTATAAAGAATAATGACACAGACACCTATGAACTCGCCATTGTCATTACCGTTATGTACACACCCCTCATTTGCCCCATCCCACATCTTCCTCCTCAGAGGTAACTAATTCCCTAGTCCATTTGTAGAACTAATGACTAGTGACAGGTGACAAGTTAAAAAAAAAAAAAAAAGACAAGATCATGGCTGTTCCTGCCCCATGACCATCAGTCATGAGTTTCCATCCGCCCTGATTTCTTCAACACCTAGTTCTCTGTAAGCAGGAATCGGAGAGCCTATTCTACGCTCGTAATGAGGGAGTGCGGGCATTGCAACATTACCCAAGTGCCCACTGGACCATTCCGCTGGGAT